AGGCTGGCCACTCATTCAACAGGTGCTTATAGATAGGATCACACAGGAGCCCTCAGGACCAATTGTCTTCTAACACCTAATTCTTCCCTCTCTTATGCTGCAGAGGTTCTTAATGGAAATGCAATGAGCAAACATGATCAACAGTCATTCATCCAAAGATTTGTTTTCATCTTCTTCAATTAGTCACCATTGTTAGATTACACTGTTACCAAATCTTACATTCTCCATCTCATTTGTATCTTTGCCCATCCCATTTGTATCTTTGCTAGTTTTGATTCCTTCCTCAGAGGACTGGCTGCGTCCTGCTTCGATTTCTGGGTCCGTCCTTTTTTCTTTCTCTGAATTCTCCTCTCTGCAATCCTTCTCCCCAAAAGTCTGACAAAGTGAAATACAGGTTTCTTCCTCTCCTCAAATTATTTTCTCTCTCTATTCTATCAGGTTTTTCTACACCTGGCACAGATTCAGTTTTTGTTTGCTGGGCTCATTGTAACTCTTTTTTTTTTTCTTTTTTTTTTCTTCTTACTGACACCCGCAGACTGTACTGGAATCTATGTCATGCCTGCCCTTGTCTCTTGCTTTCCTCCTTGTCTTTGACTTTCCTCCTTACCTCTCACTCTCCACTGACACTTTCACTGAACATCTGGAATGCATCTTAATACATTAATACTTAATACACAGTCTCTTCCATCTTTGGGGAGAAGAAAAAAAAAGAAAAAGCTCTTGACCTGCTAGCCAGTCTTCCTCCTTTTGCCTCTAAGCTCGATCTATTCTTGTTATGCAGTTATTTTTCAGCCTCTTGAATCCAGTTGTTTATTGCTGCTCTCCACAAAGTCTCTAATGACCTTCTTTTGAAGAAAGCTCAAAACCAGGACTCCATCCTCATTACTGACTCACTGTTTACTTAAACGTCTCTGCTGATCTGTACGTAGCTCTTCCATTTTATAGGTTGCTTGTAAATTCTTTAGGATAGGGCACTCTTTTTTTTTTTTTTTTCCTGTGTTTGTACAGTATTCAGCTCAATTAGTGGGTTGTTTTATGAGTAGAACTGTGAACTACTGTGAAAGTACAAATACCTGATATGTTTTTGATCAAAGGTTCCTTTCCCCCCACCCTCTCCCTGGATATTTGACCAGATCAATTTATGTAGGTTATCAGTGGGATTGATAATAAGGAACATTTTAAAATGGTACAGCTAGTTTTCCACAACTGTTGTCTCCCAAATTTGCATTGCGCTACAAATTTAGAGCAGAATTTTGCTAATCTTTCTCATGTGAACTGACCTACTTAAGTCAGTGGACTACTGCTATTTGCCACACAGTAAGGATTTGGCTCATAATCTTGGGGAAAGCATTTGCATGCACACAGGGAATATTGTCTAGTGTTTTTGTTAAAGGCTTCCTCCTCATTCCATTCCTCCTTATGAGATTATTATTTTTTTTAACTTAAAAGTGGGAAGAACAAGGTAAGCATGATCTGACCCAGATGTGATGCATAAGGAATTTGTCTATGAACCTCTCGAATTCAAATGGTGAGATGAAAAAATGATCTCTGCATGGGAGTTATTATTTTGACTTCACAAAAAAAGTCCACTTGGCTCCTAGAATAAATGAAAATATTCTTTGACTGCTGAAATTACACCTAACAAATAGGGGGGGAGGAGGCTCAAAATGATAGACCGTAGAAATCATAAAGTTTCAACTGACTGAGGACAAATAAGGGGCAATAACTGCTGCGCTTATGTGGAAGGGCAGGAACATTCTCTCAGGCACTGTAGAAATTGCAGACACCCTGGTCACAGTAATTTAGAGGCATTTACCAAGAAAATGGTTTGCAGTGTTTTTTCACAGACTGCCAGTGTGGCTTTTTTGAGACTTTACACGTCATTCGCATAATTTATTATCTACTTATTTTCAAGAATAAATTTTCTGTATAATTCCTTTCCTTGGAAAGGAGAGAACACATGTTCATTTCCCATATATTTGTAGATATAAATTATTCCTATGCATTTTTACTCAACGGTGCCGCTTGGTTTTTGGGATAAAATGCCCTGCAAGGTGACATTTCGTTCAGTTTCAGCAGTCATCATAGCAATTGGAGGAAGCTGCTCAGTGTTACCTCCACAGAGGAGTCCACACTCTCTAATGTTCTAATCTAACTTGGGTGCCTGACTGAGAAACTTAAGCATCCAATATACAAAATGCAGAAAGAGAGGTCTCTGACTCAGATGCTTTTAAATTGCCCTCCAAAAGTTACACTGAGTCTACAGGGAGCTTAGGTTCCCAACAGAAGCATCTAGGTTTTTTTCTAAGACCAGATAGCGTCACTATCTCCCACACAAATACTGAAAGGAAGTGCTTTCGTGGCCCAGACTGGTCTAACCAAGGCGTTGAATAGTTGAGTGTAAACCTGCTGTTTGTTGTACTCTTTGCCACTGACGTCAGCAGAGTTGGGATTTCATGGACAGTCTGTATTGCTCACAGACCCTTTTGTCTTTGGAATAACAAATCCAAGATGATAAAATAATGTGTCAGGGAAGGGCAAAATAAACCAGCTCCATCACATAGATTAGGGTCATTTTATACAAAATAAATATCAATGTTTGCAAGGCCTCCTTCTTCATTTCAATTAAATTCTAGGTATATTTTCTCATTCATTGCGTTTACTGGTTCTCACAGTTGCCTTCTGAACTGTAAGTATTACTGTCATCAAGTACTGATGCTATACTTCCTTCCAATAAACAGGTAGAAAATTCAGAATAATAGAATTCACTGTTGTCCACCCAAAGCTGCTGACAGGACTGGATCCTTGTTTTGGGATACCACTTTGTACCTAAGGCTTCAGCTATGTGCCAGGCCATGCATACCCATAAGGAAAATGTTGCTGATGGTGAGGTAGCGTGTCCTGGTTTGTTTGGTGTTGCTGCTGGCGTGTTTACCCTCTAAACTGAGAAAGGGAATTGGTTTTGTGCACAGCCTTGAAAAGTTGATGGTACCAGTGTGTAAGCAGACAGGATATCCTGAAGTTGAAAGGATTTGGTACAGGAACAAGCGTGCGCAAAGGCAGCAAATGGCTGAAGAGGATAGGGCAGGAACTGGAGAGCTTTCGGTACCGCGACAGTATTGACTGATGCTCTCAATGCAGAAATAACATTTCTAGTATTGTCATCTACAAAAGCTGCAGATAAATAAAATGCATTCTATACAGGTGTAAGCATTGAATAATTTCTTTTACTTTCCCACCTTCTCAAACGTGAAGATTTTGTAATATTTACTTGTCGGGTTGAAGATGGTTCTGTTTTATTTTGCTTCATCAATGAGAAAGGGAAGAAGGTCATTTCATGGCTATTCTTCTTTCTCTCACAACCTTACTTCAGACTGAAATTAGATGTTTATCCCTAGGCAGGCTTTTAAATACTTCTCTACTTTTTCTGAAGCCATGTGCCCGTTTTGTAGTAATAGCAGGGTGCTTGAATTTACCTTCAAGAACCCTGTGTCCTAGCTTCGCTAAAAAGAAACAAAACCAAAAAAACTGTGCAAGATAATGCCGGATTACACAAAATGCTGTAGTAATGCTGACAACTGAATTGTATTTTTGGTGTTCAGTTCCAGGGCCTAAACCACTGGACCGTCCTTCTGCCCTCTAAATTGGTTTTGAGATTGCATACTCTCTTTTCATGCTGTGGTTGTGGCTTTGGTACACAGACATTTGTTTTCTATTCAAATTTCTAAACTTCAGTCGTGCTTTTACCTTTTCAGAATACATGCCTTCTGCAGCAAACAGTTCATGGTTTCATGAACAGATATTGAAAGTTTAAGAAAACTTCTTGTCTGTTCAGTTGAAAGGATTTTGCTGAAATATAAGCCATTAAACACTTTGGCTAAAGAAGCAGCTTTATTTTATAATGCAAGTGAGTGATTTTCCTCTTCTACTTGTTTTCCTATTTCTGAGTATACAGATTTCAACATTGCTTTTTGAAGATGATGGGATAATGCAGTGAATGAAAGTAGCAGGTCTAAGAAAACCCCATGAACTGCAAACATTCCCTTTGTCCAGCCTTATTTTCCTGTACAGGAAAGCCACAGAGATTGTTTTCTGGCTCTCATTTTTTTCATACTTTGTAATTTGTCTTTTATCTACACAACTAGCAGAAAAAAAAAAAAAAGAGTAAAGATAAATAATTATTTTATCTTACTTTTGCTGAATGGTTGCCTTGCCTCTAACGATTCCGTTTGCATAGGCAGGTATTTGGCAATTTCAGTAATATTTAAACAGGCTGACATTGAACGACTGTTGCTGTTGCTGCATGTGACAGTACTGACTGGCGCAAAATTGTGGTCGCACCTTAGTGTGCAGTACCTGCCAATGCAAGCCCATTTAAGCAGCTGGAAGTTTTTTCTCCTGCGTCTCCTCCCTTAATTTTTTCCTTGTCCATCTTACCGGCAGAAGAGCTAAAATAATGACCTGCAGTCTCATTTTTCACTTTACTCCATGCAGATCCTGTGCGGTTGGGCAGCGAGCGGCTGACTGGGAGGGGCCTGCTCTGATGCAGCACAGGCATATGACAGCAGTAGCAGCAACAGCAATCAGAGCCCTTCTCCGGGCGGGTTTTGCTGCAGTACGCTGATTGCCACTTTACAGCATCCAGCAAGATCCCCAGCAGCAGGCACTTGGAGGAGACTCTGCGTGGGCACTTGTTTAAGGAGTACCTGACTAAACAATTGGGTTATTCTTTAACTGCGGGAGAAGTGCCTGTATTCCCTTCACGCAAGCTCCCTACTGGCTTTCTGCATTCATAATTTATCGGAGCCGTTTTTCCCTCCGTCTTTCTCCTGTTACTTCTTTTTTTTTCTTTTTTTTTTTTTTTTCCCCTCATCCCTCGATCGTTATTCCCCCCCCCCCAAAAAAAAAAAAAAAATCTGTGCTGCATCACTAGCTCTAATTATGCTGTGCTCAGTAGCCCAGTGTGTTCTCCGCCTCTGCTAGGCAGTGGCAGCATGGATGGTGCTCTTGTGACGACCTCTGCTGATGCTATCAGTCCACTGCGGATAGGCATGCTGAGTAATCCTGCTGTAAATGGGCGAGGACACGGACACACGAAAAATTAACCACAGCTTTCTTCGAGACCACAACTATGTGACTGAAGGTAACATAAATACTGTCATTATTCTCTTCTTGCATTGCATATGCTATGCCAGGAATGCACTGTCATGTTTGGAGATGTAGGCTGTTGCTTTTTTTTTTAATTTATTTTTTTTTTAAACAGGGAGACTTTCAAGGCGTTTTTCTGTGTGAAATAGAATATGTTTGGATTTGCTAAATCCCAAAGGCATTCTGTCATGCTACAGCAGTATGTGAAACTATACGGGCTAAAGAAGGTCTTGCATTGTGCTGAGTTTGTGCTAGTGAGGTGTGCAGCACCTGGCATTGAATGCACAGTAGCTGCAATGTGAAAGATTGGAAGCAGTTGATTACTTAAAAAAAGGTGAAAGGTTTGAAAGCACTAAAGTAAGAGAAATAATCTGTAAAGTTAACTGTTTGCTGGTGTAATAAAGGTTGTGCATCTCATTTTGGTAATTATAGCCTGAGCATCACAGACATTGCTGAGTTGATTGTTCCCTAGAGAACCCTATACATTTAGAAGGGATATGCAAGCATAATCTTCTGAAATACTGCTGCCTTCTTTCCATCCTCTGTGTATGTGCAAAGTACATGAGAAAATAGGAGGTACCTTCATTTTAAATCATTCGGTGGCCAGTAGCTTATTACATAAAAAGGATTTTTCCTGCAGGTGACACACATTAAATGCTGAGAGAATTTACCTTGACACCAGTGAAATGGTTGGGTCAGGTACTCATCCATATTTCCTTGCCAGAAAGTTGGTTTGAGGGCAGACCATTTTAAGATTGATTGATTGATTCAACAGGAGAAATGCATTTGTAGGTGCTTGACTTTGCAAATATATTTGTGTGTGCAGAGTTTTAACAGCACTTTCCAGCAGCAGAAACAGTACTTCAGTGTAGGCTTATATAATATGAGCATACTTAACATCAGGGTCAACCAATACTACTTGAGACAGTCTCCAGATTCTGTCGTCATTTGATCAATGCTCGGTCACTTAATACTCCCATGCTGCATCCTGAAATGTGATCAGCTGATGTTCTCTTGATTATTGGTGATTTGCATTCTTTTAGAATGTAGAAAACAGCAGGATGATTTTGCCGTACTGGGAGCACAAAGCAGATTTTTCAGAAGAAAAATTGAAAAAGCTGTGTATTGTAACTGTTACCACTGGCTGGGGTAATTTTTTTCTAATCTTGCCTCTAGGACATTCTTTGTATTCTGGTTCATGTTTTGGTGCATTTTTTTAATCTGTTTTGAATTTTTGGTTAATCCTTTTTGTCTGAATGATGATTTATGTTTTGATATGTAGTCATCTGTAATAACACTTGAAGAAACTTTGTTTTAAATTTACAAATTTATGCCTTAGATTCTGCAAAATGCACAATGTAATTACTGCAGTGTACTTGCTACATGTTGAGATTCAGATGTATATTTAATGGACATATGCAGCTATGTTAAAATTTGGACTTTCAAGTCTGTCAGTTTTGTAATCTGAGGAAAACAATCCCTGGTGGATTTTGCAAATCAGTATTCTCCTCTTTTGTATGTTATGGGTGTTTTAAAAATTAGATTGAGATTTTTAGTATTTTTGGGGACACTGCTGACACAAGTTTCAGATTTTTTCATGTTTTGTCTTCACTTGATATTTGGATCAGAAGGACTGGATGTTCTTCCATGATTCCACATGGAGTGGCTTGTCTGAAATAGGTCAAAATATACCTTGAGTATCAATGTTGGCCTGTGTTATTTTCCCTGTGATCAGAAGTCATCATGAAATACGTTGGCATTTGATTTTGAGATAGATGAAGTATGGGAAGCCTGCAGTAGCAAAGTGTTAGTTCTTCAGCTCTAACTGTGTAGTGTTTCTTGGGAATGCTCAGTTGGTCAGCTGTAATAAAATTCTTCACATCTGCTATATCTGACATTGCCACATCTTTTAAAAGATCATGCAAATCACGAGGGAATGGATTTATCTGTGAAATTTTTCCAGGGACACCTTCAGCTCAAAGAGGACCGTCACAAATTTTTATTTCTTATTGATATACTTTGTTTAAAATGCAAAATGAATATGTAAGTTAAACTGGTGCTTAAAATGTGCTTGCTTTGTTCTGTTTTGTGGTTGGGTTTTTTTTTTATTTTTCATTTATTTTTAAGTTTTCTTTAAAGATTTGGCTCCATGAAACAACCTTTAACACTTCTCATCTGTAAAGGCCTGAAGTCCTTTTACAGTCCTTGCATTTGATCCTATGATATGTTAGTGCTGCGTGTATGATAGTAACATACATATAGAAGCACAGTTGCAGGCACTAATACATTGCTTTGTTATATTGGAAAATGACTTTATTGGGGCCAAACCCAAGTCTTTCTGCTGGGGTCTTTGGCTTTTGTAATCTACTATTTAAAACAAGGAAATGCTTTACCTTGGATCCAGTGTATTAGAGAAGCTCCTGATTCATTGTTGTCTGTGAATAACTGCAATTTTCTTTTCTGTTTTCAGAGTTTTCAAATCTTGGTAAGGGGTGTCCCCTGTCCTTGCTGCTCCATGCAGCAGACTAAATTAATTTACCAAAGGAGGTATTTCTGACCTTTATATGCACTTTCTTCCTCTCTATTCCTTGAGGAAAGTAAAGCCAACAATAATCAAGATGATGTGGGTTAACTACAGTATTGCTTTAGTTCTTTTCCTCTTTCAATTCTTCAGTGATTTAAAAAAAAAAAATCGGATGGCATGTGAATTCACAGGGTATAGGAAAACTGTGAGCCAAATGTGATTTGCTCTGTTCTCGCTAGTGGATCTAGTGTGTTCCTAACAAAACTGCTTGCTTGAGCAAAGTCGAATTTCATCTCTTTGGTAGGTCATTATTTTGTAACATTAGGGTTATCTGTATCAAATGTGACTTCACCTTGCCTATGGAAAATTGAATTCGTTTTTAAATCTCAAAAATTCCTTGATTTGATGGTTTTACAGTTGATGTTACAGTGTTTCTGGGAATAGGTGTTACAGACACGCATGTGACAACAATGACTACCTGGACATGTTTCTCCTGTTACATATGCATATCCATAATGAAACCAATGGAGTTGAAACAAGCAGGACCTGAATAATTTTGTCATTGTAAGTCTTAAAAGTATGCTACTGTTGCCCAACGGAAAAGGGCAATTTAATTCTAGCAGCCATATACAATATGTTTTTCAACGATTGCTTACAAAAGTAGTTTTTGGAGGAAACTGCTTTATTGGAGTTGTTTGTGTGGGGAAAATAGAAAAGACCTGATGAGACTTGTAAAGAAAGGGATGAGAAAGACCTGAAGCCTGGAAAATGTGACCTGTGAGGAAAGATTGAACTTTTTTATGTGAAGGTGGTGAAACACTGGGATATATGGCCTAGGGAGCTTGCGTAGTTTCTGTCACTGAAGTTTTTAAAGTAGATGACAGAGATGTCTGTGAGAAATGACATGGGGATAGCTGAGCCTCCCTTGGGGCATAAGGGTGGACTAGATGACCTCTGAGATCTGTTCAGGCTTGTGATTCATTGTTGAGCTGTGTTTTATCTTCATTGCCTTTTGCACCCCAGCTGTGGGAACCAGCTACACAGGAGGTGTTGTGTCAGTAAATTGTGTTATTTCCACAACACCTTTAGAAGAACAGAGAAGAGAGGAGAGGCACAGTGTAACATGGGGAAGAAGATGGGCTGGATGGGAGAAACATGAGCCTTTATCACTTACAGGCAAAGTCTGTTAGGGGAGATGGCAAGAAAATTGTGGACAGTGAGTTGGGAGAAGGGATAAAGGAGGGAAAAGGCTTCTGTGCATTTAGGGGCAGAGAATGTCCTTCAGTCTGAGAGTTTCCTTGACATTACCTGTGTTTAAGATTAACGGTAAAATTGACAGGACTGCTGATGTGCTTTGCTATCTCAGGACCTTGGGATCAGCCACACAGGATGTGATTCAGAACAGTGAATTGTGCAGTATAGTCACTGTATTCCTGGCAGGGGCAAAAAGTTGTGGGAAACGCCTGTGCTGCTCCTTTGAGAAACTGTATTGTTAATTCAGCTACTCTGTATTTTACAGATTTAATGATTGACAGAGAAATAACGAACAAAATTCACTATCCTTACCAAACTGTGTTAAAGGATGTGATTCATATCCACGAACCCAAATTTATCTGTAGAAATGCTTCTCTGGTGGCAATAGCTTTCTGCAGGTTGTATGCAGATGTGTTTAGCTTATTGATTGATTCCTGCCTTTTTATGGATTATCCATGTTTTGGGAAGAAATAAGAAGTTGCTTATACTCTCAGTTACTAGAGAGGGACCAGTTCCTCTGGAGGAACTCCTCTGGTCTGGAGGTCCTCCTCCTCCCACTTCACAGGTGAAGCCAGTGAAGTTGCACAGGTGCAGTGGGGCAGAAGCTGACCTTCACTGTCTAGTCATTTATATGGCCAAATGGTGCAGATTGGTTCCATATGGCTTAACTTCTATTAAAAAGTTAATCGTGTTAATGGTGTATTAACCTCCTCAAATGTGATATTTGAAGAATAATGAGAATTACCAGTGTAGTGTAAAACATATTGAATCATAACCATGTGAAACGTTTATTATAGAGGATGAAAAAAGACTGGGTTTTTTCCTAATGATTTTAAAGGAAAATCCGCTGCAGATAATGAAAACAGATTTTGGGGGCTTTTTTCCCCTTAGCTAAAGAAATTAGTATCTCTGTTCTTCATTAATCAAAGTTAAGGGAAATTATCCATTTTCATCTGCCAAGAAGGAATTTATTTATGAACTTGTGGTTGCATAAACATCTCAAATATAATTTGAATAAAAGCTGACTACCTGAGACTATTGGATGAATATAGCGAACAGGTACTGCTCTGCTGGCTCAGGCTCACCATCAATCTAGTCTGCTTACTTATTTCTCAGAATGGCTGGTAGCAAGCTTATTAAGAAAAGTGCAAGAGGTAACTCTTCCTCTCTTAACATCCAGCAATTCAGGATTTATGTTGTGAATATTGAAGATTTTT